GGAGGCTCGCCGGGGCCCGAGGGCCACTTCCCGGGCCACCTGGTGGACGTCAGCGGCGCCGGGACGCTGTCCCACAGCTACCAGTATGAGGTGTGCCTGACGGGGGACGCTGGGACAAACGAGTTCAAGTTTCTGAAACCTATTTTGCCCAATTTTCAAGGCCATTCCCCTGGGTCAGAAATAGAAAAAAATCCTAACTTTAGGAATGAGTTTAATTTCAGCGTTCACTAACAGTATATGTATCCTCAGTTTCTGTGGTTTTCTCATTATGCTAATTAACTTTTAGGAAAGATCTTTAATATCTATTTCACCAAGGGAAATAATGAAGAGTATTTTCACTCTTATTACAAGGTGGAAAGCGGGATTATTCAGTGTTTGTGCAGCAGTGGCCAGTGAGTCAGCAGTATCCAGAGTGGTCTGGCCAAACTCCTGCTCCTGTAAACTACTTTATGTGGGCTTTGTTTCATATTATTCCTGTTTTTACTATATGTTAGTGTTATTTTCAGTTTTATGTGTTGTGTGGGAGTTTCAGGTTATCAAGAACACTTCCATATACATTACTAGTAATTGCTTCTTTCATGCAATTTTTGACTTAGTAAAGAATTCATAGGAATGTTCTATTTTCAGAAGGGGTGGGAAGCATATGTAATTGGTTTTAATATTCCACATTTTAAAAATCAATACATTCAAGCTGATGTTTTGGGCAACTATTCTAGTTTTTTGAATTATGCTACACAAATTTGCTTGCAAAACTTATTCTATCTCCTTTTATTTTAAAACGATTATATATAGATATATATCCTTATAATTATATTTTCTTTCATTACTATAACAAGATTAACAATCCAAAATCTTGAGTCCTAAATTACAACAGTACAAATCTTTGTCCTAGAATGCCTTATGAATTTATTGGGAGGGGCTGTAGAAAATAATTGTATAAAATTGGTGCGTTACCTTAGACTTTTTCTTATTAACTTTTAGCCCATTACATATATAAGAGCAGCACCACATTAACATTTACAATGATGTTCACCTCACAGAAAGAAGAGTCCAGTGTGATGTCTATTTCTCTATTCATCTTTTATATTGTTGTTTCAGTCGATGGTGGTACCCCCTTGAATATGTCCAATCTTGTCCAATAGTATTTTCTCTTAAGGTCTTGTACTGATTGTGATTCCTTTTATTAATATACCAATGTTAGTTTAAATATAATTATTTTAATTGCTCTCTATTTAGTTTCATTTGTGTTGAGAGCAAAATATCTACATCATGTTTCTTCAGTGAGATGATATAATAGTGAAAATGACTTTTCCCATTTGAGAAATATTGAGCATCTGTGACAGCAAATGCAGTGACCAGCCAATGTCCATTCATCTTTTCTTTAATAACTAATCCTAAATTTCTTTTAAGGCATTAGTGTTCTTTGTCAAACCAAACCAAACCAAACCAAATCAAAACAAAAACACTTTCCCATACCCTGTGGAATAAAGCAGAGACTGTGTTATAGTCAATGAGCTATATGTACAAATACTGTAGAAAACTTTGAAGAAGGCTGTATGAAGGAATATATGTTATCTAACAAAAAGCCCATTCCCCCCACTGTTTAGAATGTGTTTTGTTTGGAAAATACTTAGGCACATTCAGCCAAAAATCAACACAAGTATGGACATAAAAGCAGAAGACAGTCAGCGTAGAATGGTTTAAAGAGATGAAAGTCCCTACAGATCATAAAGTTACTACGCCATCCCTTGATTGCCTATTTCTGATCTTTTTAAATTTGGGACTAAAACAACTTTCTCTCTTTTAAGATATCCTCAATTTAGTTTTTGTGCTACCTCCAATAGATTACAATACTAAAGCTTTAGTATTGTAGTACTTTTTAATCAAAAACAGAGATCTTAAACTAACTGGATGTAACTGATCTTTTTAAAGCTTATTTCTTGGCTTCAAATTTAGTTGAAAGTAGTGCGCAGAGTGCTTTACATTTGTTATTCATTCTTTTTAGCCCTCTGTTTAAGTCTATGGAAGTTGGCATGTTATTCCCTCTTTGACATGAGAAAACTGAAACTTAGGACATGTAAGTAACTTGCTCACAGTTCTGGTAAAAGGAGAAGTTTAAAATATAAGACTATTTGAATTAAAAAATTCAGCTCTTAACTTACACACTACAATGGTAGCCCTTCACGGGTGCCATTGTCTTCCTAAGCAAGGATGTAAAATCCATCTAGTCTATGAGGTGACCTCTTATGTTAAAATGACCTCCTATGTTGAGTTTTTAGTCTATCATTTATATTCATTTTCACAGCAATGGCCACACCACTCTGGATTAATAAATCAAAGTTTCTTATAGAAGTACTGACCTAGGGCTGTCCCTGGTGGAGCAATGGGTAAGGACACAGCACTACACATTAGCCATAGCCACTTCAGTGTGAGTTCAAAACCCAGCCCTGGAGGTGACCCACATGGTGCAGCAGACCTCTCCTGACCCACCTGATGCGCCCCTCAGCAATGTACTTTGTTGATTTGCCTGTTCTACTCCCATCTCTGTCTCTGGTGAATCTTCTCACTGCTCCTGGACTTTTGGCTTGTACCCCATTTCTATATGCATAAATAAATAAATCTTTTTTTAAAAAAAGTACTGACCTAAGTAGGTCAGTAAACTGGGATAGACACTATAATTGAGCAGATCAACCTGATTATCTTCTTGTACCTCCCCAGCATGTCACATTCATTATTGTAGAAAGGAATGCCCTGAATAGGGAGTAGAATTGCCCTGTGGTAAAAGTACTTGTACTGTTCCTTTAGCATTTTCCCCTGTCATATCTAATGTACACACTAACTTAAAGCTTTTTTATTTTACATATGTAGTGAGTCCCTTTTTAAAATTAAATATACTGTATTCATTTTTACATATCATTTTTTTTGGAAAGTGGTCACTATTACATTTTTAATTGTATCAGAAATAACTAATAACTAATGTATAGGCTATTATGGAGGAATTTCTTTCAATAAGAGATTCTGGAAATTTAGTAGGGAAAAAACAAACTCCAGTTAAAATTAACTACATGTCTTTGGCAACTGCTCTCAAAAGTCTGTGGACAAAGGAGGTGGGGAGTCCTAAATTTTCTCCAGGTTGTTCAACAGAATTGAATCACATTCTTCAGTACTTGCTAAGATAATACTATTCTTGCAGTGTGATAAATTCTTGTTGATTTATATACTGGGTGCATGAGAAACTATGCTTGTGTTATGTATTAGTTTCCTATTGCTGCTATAAAAATATACCACAAATGTAGTTGCTTAAGAAATAAAAATATATTACCTATGGTTCTACAGGCCAGATATCTTATATGGTTTGTACAGGGTTAAAATCAAGGTGTCCGCAGGGATATATTTCTTCCTAGAGTACGAAAGGAGACTCCCTCATTGTCCTTCACCAGTTTCTAGATGCTGCCCCATGACTAATGGTGCCCTATTCCATCTTCAAAGTCAAGCAACATTGCATCTCTTTGACTGTTGTCCTGTAGTCACATCTTCCTCTGGCCAAAGTCAGGAAAGGTTCTCTTCCACCCAGATAATCCAGGATAATCTTTGATTCACATGGTTCTGATTTTCATCACAAGCCTGAAATCTATTTTCCCATCTAAAATAACATAGTAACATATTTTGGGAATTAGACACAGATGGGGTAGATGGTGATTATTCTGCACAGGTTGGCTGCCTGTAGGAAAATTATAGTCTGGTGATGCCAATTGTGGCCAGTAGAAGGCACAAGAAGGTTTGGTATGTCAGGAGCTTAAACCTCATGTATGCCATTATAGGAATGAATAAATTCCTCCAAATTGAGGAGGTAACTTGTATACAAAGAATGTAGCTGGCATGTCCATTAATTACACTTAAAAGTCCTAAGTGCACCTTACATATGGGGAGCCTTGGCACTGAAGCTAATGGACAGGACTTTAGATGGAGAGAGGATTCACAGCTCACTCCCAGACAGGTGTTTTTTTTGATACTTCTTTGAAACTCAATATTTAACTAGAGAGTTTTTGTAAAACTACTGATATCAGACACTCAGGGATGTATTGTATGCATCTTTGTGCTATTAAGGTTAATAGGTTTGTATGTGGTTTGTGATTCAGGTAGTTGAATATGTAGAAAACAGTCAGAATTTTGCCTATGTTCCCAGAGTAGAGTAGCTTTCATTCATAGAACAAAAATGGCCTGGATTCAAGATGGAGTCATTTTGGTTTTCCTACGATCATTGGTTAGATGTTTTAACTTGAGAACAGGTAATTAACAAAATTCTAAACATCATTAATCAAAACACTGAATTGACAGAGATAACATGAAACCTCACTGCAATTCAATTCAATTTTTTGAATTAGAAAACCTTAACAAATGAACACAAATTGAATAAAGGACTTGTATCTGAAATACATAAAGAATACTTACAGCTCAATCAAAAAAAGACAAATAACCCAGTTTGTCAATGGGTGAAGTTGTAAACAGACATATTTCTAAGGATGATATGAAAATGAACAAGCAGCAAGTGAAGAGATGTTCAACATTATATTCATCAGAGAAATGCAAATCAAGCTCATGATGCATGAAATACCATGTCATATCCCATAGGATGACTACAATCAAAAGGTCAAATAATAAGTGTTGGGAGGATGTAGAAATATTAAAATATTGATACACTTTATGGTATGAATGTAGAAAAGTACAATTACTTTGGGAAAGTCTGGCAGCTCCTCAATTAAAACAGAGACTCATATGACCTAGCAATTCTACTCCTAGCAAATGAAAACATATGTCCTCACAAATATCTATATGTGAATGTTTATAGCAGCATTATTCACAATAGGAAAAAGATGGAAAAAACCCAAAGTCCATCAACAAACAAGTGGATCATCAAAATATAACATATCTTTCTCTACAGTGAACTTCAGAAAGGAATGAATTACAGAATACATGGATGAAATTAAGTGAAATAAACAGTCACAAAAGCCAACATATATTATTTCACTCACATGAAAATTCAGAATAGGGAATAAGTTAATGGTTAACTAGGGCTCAGGGAAGAAGGGATGGAGGATAGGGAATGATAGTAAATATTTTTAAGGTGATAACAAGTGTTCTAAAATTGACTGTGGTTAAAGATGCAATATTCTTCCTTAAAAACACTTAACTCTCTACTCCCAATGGGTGAATTATATTTCATCAAGGTCTTTTTTTTTTGTAAAAGAATAAACCAAATTGTGTCATGATTAAAGGAAAAAGAATCCAAAACCTTAAGACCTGCTTAATCAGGAAAACATTTCTGATAATTTAAGCATAGTGGAAACTCAGTCCTCAAGCTTTAGGTGTTAGAAAGAAAAGGAAGTAATCTACTTTTAAACAGGCTCTCTTTAGAACCACCACTGAAGGCAATTTTGCAGCATCCACTCACTTCTAACTCAATAGTACATAGCTTGAAAAGCATGTACTTGTGGGATTGTTCCCAATTTACTTCAGAAATAGCTTGCTTCTTAAGATACTTTCTTTTCAGATTAAATGTTAATATATTTAGTCAACAACCATCACCTACTTTAAACAGCCAATAACATAAATGACAACTTTCTTTTTTTACTTCTCCTGTGAAACAACACACAGCTCTATCTAAACTCACAAAACCACTTGAAAACAGAACTCAGCATTTCATATTATAGAACAGTTTACACAACCTATGTGATACCTTAAGGAGAATTTTGCATACCGTGTTAAATCAGAACATGTAAGATGCAGTTTCGAACACGTGGTGGCGCTGCAGGCTAAGATGAGGAAAAACAGAATTGCTTACGCAGCCCCAGTATTCACCCAGTTTCCGGCCGCCTGGAAGATAAGCCATAGCTTTTTCAGCAAGAGCAAGAGTGTAAACCCTTTTTATAAAAGTCTATTTAGCAGCACAGTTCTGACCTGGGCAGAGCCACCAAGACCCTGGGAATATATTAAGAAGTTCCTGTGAACCTAACTTTAGAAAAGAGAGATGGAAATTGGCTGGAACCACAATCTGAGACCAAGGCAAGTCTTAATTTTCTTTGTTCTGCTCAGCATGTCTGGGATGGGCGCCGAATTGGGACCGTATTCAGTAGTGGAAGAAACTGAGCGGGGCTCCTTTGTAGCTAATCTGCAGAAAGATCTGGGGCTAGGGTTAACTGAGATGTCCACCCGCGGGGCACGGATCATTTCCAAGGGGAACAAAGAATACTTGCAGTTCAAGGTTCAGACTGGGGATTTGCTCACAAATGAGAAACTAGATCGGGAGGAGCTATGCGGCTCAACTGAACCTTGCCTACTACATTTTCAAGTATTAATGGAAAAACCCTTGGAGATATTTCAGGCAGAATTGAGGGTGAAAGACATAAATGACCATTCTCCCGTGTTCACAGAAAAAAACATGAGTCTAAAAGTATCAGAAAACAGTCCTCTAGGAATTATATTGCCTCTGAGTAATGCTGTGGACTTGGATGTAGGAAGTAACAATGTTCAGAACTATAAAATCAGCCCCAACTCCTACTTCCGGGTTTTAACCCGCAATCTCAGTGATGGCAGAAAATATCCTGAGCTGGTATTGGATAAAGAACTAGATCGGGAGGAGGAGCCTGAAATCTCTTTAACCCTGACCGCGCTAGATGGAGGCTCTCCGCCCCTGTACGGGACCTCCCGGGTGCACATTGAAGTGGTGGACAGCAACGATAACGCCCCTGAATTTGGACAGCCGCTCTACAAGGTGCACATCCCTGAGAACAGTCCCTCAGGCTCCCTGGTTGTCACCGTCTCTGCCACGGATTTGGACAGCGGCGACAATGGAAAAATAACATACACACTCTTTCAGCCTTCAGAAGACATTAGCAAAATTTTGGAGTTAAATCCTACAACAGGTGAAATTCGACTGAAAAAACAAGTAGATTTTGAAACAACTCTGTCTTACGAGGTGGACATCAAGGCCACTGATGGTGGAGGTCTTTCAGGAAAATGCACTCTTCTTCTGCAGGTGCTGGATGTGAATGATAACCCCCCAGAAGTGACTATGTCTGCATTCACCAGTCCCATCCCAGAAAACTCGCCTGAGATTGTAGTTGCTGTTTTCAGTGTATCAGATCCGGATTCAGGAGACAATGGGAAAACTATTTGCTCCATTAAGGATGACCTTCCCTTTCTTTTAAAACCTTCAGTCAAGAACTTTTACTCCTTAGTAACTGAGATACCATTAGATAGAGAAGACAAGGCCGAGTACAACATCACGATCACCGTCTCGGACATGGGCACCCCCAGGCTGCAGACCCAGCACAACATCAC